AAATATTACTCACATGACTGTCACATTTTTGCTGTATACGTCGATAAGCAACAGTATGCAAACATTTCAGTCATTTCAACTTCATTTAAAGCTTGTTGCACTGGCTCCTGAGTGGTTAAAACATCAGTTAATGCAGATTTAATTTGAATTTCCTGATTGACAAACAATGTTAGAAGCTGGCTGCATTTTAATTTTATTAGGTTAAGATTTGGCTGTTTTTCCTGGCACAGAACTTGCTTTTTGGGAGATATTACACTTGCATGCAAATCTGTAAAAGCAGATTTATTCACGTATGATTCCTGACCATTTGCTGAACAAAAATGTCTATTTATCTCTGTAAATGGAATCTAAATCAACAGACATTACGTTAAAAACATGATTTTGTATCAGTTCTGTTTAATTTTCTTGTATTCAGGCCAAAACCTCTTGGGTGAAGGGCCCAAAATAACCTCATTAAGAAAAATAAGCCACACACAGCAATATTCTCACACAACAGGAAAAACACTGCTGAAATTGATGATCTTGTTCTGGTACTGTACATGCAGGAACAAGCTCTACTTAACTGAACACTTGTTGAAGCACAGTGTAAACACTCAAAGGGTCAAACAGAAGAGGTCAAATCTGCTGTGAAAGAGTTTCATCTTTGCCACAAAGTCAAAGTCAGACCTGTAACGAATGCAGGGTTCAGTCGCTGTCTCCTCCAGGTGAAACTGCGCCCAGGGGTCGGGCATCGCTTTCGCCTTTTCGATAGCGTGCAGCCATGCTGCCTGGTAGAAAAACAAGATAGAGAAATTTATATAGATCTTATGAGCTCGGGAGCAGAATAAAAGTCAGTTGCCCACATCAGGATTGCTTGAACACAGAAGAAAGAGGGAAAGCCCTTCCATGCAAAGCCGTTTAATCTGCACAATAAATGCAGTTCTAAGCCAGTCTGTTCTCTTTACTCAACAATGCATGCATTGTTTTTTCTGCAATTATAATCAGCTCTCCAATTGAAATCTATAATGTCACAATTTCTGCATTAGAGGGCTCTCCCCCTCGATTTAGGGAGTCAAAACAACCACGTGGCTCACAACAAAGCACACAAACATGAAGCAGACACTGAAAACAAATACCACAGGAGAATGGATACATGGTAAAATTATGAGTGGATTTCTGGGCTGTAAGGTCGCCGTAAATAAAATAACTTACAGCTACCTTAAAGTGAACATGTGCAAAAAAAAAAACTTGAATCAGATGTCACGAGTAAGCTAAATCTGTTAGCAAGTAACCCAAGCCTTGGCCCAACCTACGCTGCTCAGCAGCACGTCCTCCTCGTGCGCCACTGCTCACAGTCCAGCAGATGTCTTTCTATTCAGAGTGAGGAAGGAGCAGCACTTATGTTGAAGAGGAGCAGGCGACACATGTTTATCAATAAAAGAAAAAAGAAAAAAGAAAAGAAAAGAACAAGATCCGGGAGGGATGAAGTGGTTAAAAGTAAAAGCAGGGAGAGGCAAATTGAAGGGCAGAGTGAGGAGCTGGAGGTGTGGATGGTCAGTGGTATAAAAGGGAGAGAAGGAAAAACCAAGATTTAGATCCAAACATACCCGTGCACTCTCAGACAAAACCTTGTACGATCGATGTCCTGCCACTGTATCTGTTTCTTTTTCGTTCTATGCAAAAAAAAACAACAACAAGAAAACGGATCCTTTATCATCAACAGGAAATGTATGCAACATCACTTTAGATAACATTAACAGCCCGAAGGCTCTGAAACAGCAACACCACCACCGCCACACAAAAATTTAAAGAGCCGCGCGCACTGAATTGAGCTTTTGTTGCAGCTCCCTGCTGATGTGGAGCGAGAGAGAGCTGTGTTTACACACATCATAATCACAAGGTGAAACCGCTCTCTGCTGCTTCCTGTCAGAAAGTACATTTAAATAAAAGGTGGGTTGACCAGCGCTTCACTCGAGCAAACACATAAACACACGTGTTGAAATACCAGACGAGCCACACAGAAC